TATCTATCTATCTATCTATCTATCTATCTATCTATCTATCTATCTATCTATCCAATCAATGTTGTACTAATTACTTATTAATTTGAGTTGTATCAATTACAGTGGTGCCATATAACAAATTAAAGTTTAGAAAACAAGTTTTTAAAAATTGACTTTTAAAATTGTGAATTAATACCTGATTTTTAAAATATTACTTTCTGTTTTGCATTGTATTTTCATTTGACTGTAACATTTCTTTTTCTTTTTGTTGTGATCTGTGGTCTGCTTTGTCTATTGCATGTCCAGGGTTCTAAGGTTAGTATTATTGTTACAAGTTTCAGTTTTTGTTTTTAGAATTAGACATTTTTTTCTGTGTGCAATTTTTAATTATTTAGTCTCTTTTGATAAAAATGGAGATGCATTATTCACAGGTTTTGATTGTATAATCTAACTATATGAGAGTTAAAGCGAAATTCCGAAGGCCTCACTTAAGTACAACATAGGGACAGAGGGAGGGAGGGAGAAGGGAGGGAGGGAGGCCCGGAGGGAGAAGACTTTGACTTTGCATTTCTATTTTGCTTCTTTGAGTTCATGTTACCTGTTCTGTGTTTCTTAACTCTTGGGCAACATGAACTAAGGATCTTGGCTCAATAAACAGGGAATGATTTAATTGCAACGGGATAAGGAGAAAACTGAACAAAATGCTTTCATCTTCAATAATGACATTTAAAAAGGCTAAATATTTTTTCTCTATCAAAAGAACCCTTTGAATGGAAATAACATTTTTGCATTGTTTCAGTTCAAATTGCAGATGAAATGCTATTATGATTGATAAAACTCTTATAAAATTACTTGCAAATTTCAATTGATAACATTAAAATGTGCAACCTGAATAATATTTCCTAATATGAATAAACAGTACTGTCACTTTAACTTCAGAAGGTTAGCGGCAAAAAAGCAAACATGATACTTTAAAACAAAAGGGTTTATTATAGCTTTGCTTTCATCGGTCTAACTTAATGAAGTTTCTTGTGGCTAACAAAAGCTTTTAACATAATAAATATCTTAGTCCTTAATATGTTCATAAATTACCAGTAAGGCACTTTGTTGATTCTTCTATTATCTGGAATGCATTGAAGAAGTTCTGTATAAAATAGTTCTGTATTTTTATACTAAACATAACAACAAACTGTTCTGTGGCCTTGTTGCTAAAATTATGCAGATGCTAGTTAACATGCCAAACCTTCTGACTAAATGAATTGTCTAATGGAAGAGTAATGAAAGCTTTCCATAGAGCAAGTCACTATTTTTCTTGTATTTTAATGAGAAATGAGTCCTGTTTCAGTATTTGCAGTGTTCCACTATGAAAATAGACTTTTCTATTTTGGTTTTAATTAGTGAAGACTAATGTGTGTGTGTGTGTGTGTGTGTGTGTGTGTGTGTGTGTATACATGCATACATACACATACACATTCTATAAATGAAATGTGGATTTTAATAAATTAGAAAGGTGTGATTTTGAGATCTGTCGCTCTCACACACACATACACACACATACACACATGCACATACATCACACAAACATAATATATTTTGGTTTTATACAAAAATAATAGAATATTTTTGTAGAAGTGATTACAAAATTATTTCTCATAGCATACCATTGTTAAAAGAGATACTGCTGCTTCTGAAACATGGAAAAATGAATATTGTTAATGTTTTAAAAAGTGTTTTGCTACATTATTACAAGACATAAATAATACATTATTTACGTGCATTATATTTATACAGTATTAGTGAAATTATTTACACTCTAATATTAGATATTTTAAAAAATGAATTTTAAAAGAATTGTTATATGAATAAGATTCACAAAACTATCTTTGGAAAATTACTTATAATTTATGCCAAGTAATTCCTTTGCAACATTATATCCCATCTTCCATAAAATTACCTTTAAAAACAATTGCATAAACTATGTGTGTCTTTGTGGATGTAGGCATACATTTCATGCAGTTAAATGTGGCCTACTAGGAAGACTTTCATGAAAGAAACAGCTATCTGTTATTTTTTTCTAATATTCTAGGTAAAATATGAACTGTACTTTTTATGTACACATGGCCAAGAATGCTTTTTTTCAATTCTGGTCAAAATCTTACATCTACATAATATGTCATATTCATGATATTTTGCTGTTAATTTGGAGTGAGAAGAAACCCATTTATTCAATTTCTTATTCACTTGTATTCCTTTTATGGAAAATTGAAAATCCATTCTGTTTTAATCTATATGCTCACTTTATTGAAGTTAGTTCATATAAATAACTTTTGTTCTAGTGATTTCTATAGTATGCATGAACAAATAATTTTTCATATTTGTTGCTATTTTACATTTTTTCTTCTGTTTCACCATCGTCAACATGTAGAGAAGAAATGAAATAAATGCTTGTACATATAATGTATTCACATGTGTGCCATATTAGAAATCTAACGTTAAGCCTTTCTTTTCAAGACGGAATTGGAGAATATAGAAGTAACTCAGGGTATGTCAGCGGAGACAGCAGTAACTTTTCTCAGCCGGTTGATGGCTATGGTTGATGTACTAGTATTTGCCAGTTCACTAAATTTTAGTGAAATTGAAGCTGAAAAAAATATGTCTTCTGGAGGTTTAATGCGACAGTGTCTAAGGCTTGGTAAGTTTCCATAGAACAATTCAGTGCACCAGGTATTATATATAAACCAATTAAACTAGATATTAGTATTGGAAAGGGAAAAAAAAACGTATACAGTATGTGGAAGCTCACTTGATTTGGGGTAAAAAAGAATATTTTGTGGAATGTTAACATTTTTAACCTACCCGGTTATAGAGAGACTTTTGATTTAGTAATTGTATTTTAACACAAATAAATTTCTAACGAAAAAATAGCATTATCATTCAATCGTGTGATGTGTTAATGGGGTTGGCTTCTTTTGAGGCTATTTCTGCTTTTCCTCATCTTTAGGGAAAATATTTTGTTCTAGATATTACAGGCTCTCACAAATATAGAAATTAGTAACAGTTGTCTGTAGCTAAATGTTCTGTTTTATATCGTCATTTATTTTTCTTCTGATAATTACAATACATCTGTATAAGAAACACATTTTAAGTATATTTTTAAGCAAACAATTGATAACCTATTATACTGCTCTAAAGTATTATAAGTTACCATTTTTTTTAGTACTGGAGTACATAAGCTATCGAAGATGTGTTAGCCATAAATAAAAATATATAAAATCTGGAGCCTCAGTATTTTTATAGCTGAAGTTCTATAAAATAGTTGCAAATTGTCATGTTTTCTAAGAACTCATTATTAAGTAAGTTGGTTCAGAACCAGGGAAGAAAAAGATGGCTGATTTTTCAATTCCTGGCAATTGCATTAATTTAGTGGTCCTGTATTAGGGAACAGAGGGCTTTGAAGAAACAGGATAGAAAGAGTATTGATGCTTTGGAACTTTTGTTTTGGAGAAGACCCTTAAGAATAATATGGACAGCCAAGAAAACAAAATGATCATTGAACAAACCAACCCAGAGTTCTTACTAGAGGCATAAATATTCAGGCTCTTTGGACATGCTTTGCAAACACTTAGCTCTCTGGAGAGGACTAATGCTGGGAAAGGTGAATGAAGAGAAGCAACAACAGTGGTTGGACTCACTGTTACAGTGGTGTTTGCTGCCTCCTTGGAAGACCTGAGGGAAAATCATCTTGGAAAAAAAATGTGGTTGCTAAGATAAATACCAATTTGCAAATATCTAATTATAATCATTACCTTCAATTATGTGTAATTCATCTCTAATAAGAGCTTTACTTTGTGATAAAATAACTAAGGAATCTGTTGACTGAAAAATATGGACCTTCTTCCACTTTTGTCTTTTCCTCTTTTTGGGTGTATCATCTTTACATTTTTGATAGTTTTTTTAGCATAATTTCTTTTCATTAAACAAGACTGCACAAATTTGATAGATAAATTAAGATATTAGATACATTAAAAGTGCTTGGGTATCATAATTTAAAATAAACTAACTAATCCAGTATGAGAGAAAAAGTGTAAAGAAATGGAGATCTTAAATCTAAACATGATTTATACATATTAAAATCATGAAATAAACTTTTAATACTGTCATCCTTTATGGTAAAAGTCTAAGCATTTCTCTTTAAGATCTAAATCTTAAATTTGCTTCAAAATTAAAAATTCAAGAAAAAGTTCCTTGTGTCAGAGCTCCCTCTTGTGGTTCTAAATATCTCATGAGATTCATAAAAAAGAAAACATAATAGCACCAAATAATGTATAGACTAAACAAAGATGGTTGGAGGAAAATAAAATTCAGATATGGGAAGCAAAGTGGTCATCATCATCATCATCATCATCATCATCTGTGATTGATCTTATCTTGCTTATAAATCAGTTCATCATTCTAAGAACTATTAAAAGAAGATTATTATAAAAAATATTATATGAATGGTCAACCCTATTGGTCAACCCTATCCCCCCCAAAGAGATAAAAAGATGCATAATGAAAAAGACTTAAGGATTATTAAGTGAATTTTAATCAAAACATGAAGGTTTTATTTGCAAGGGCCCCATTGTTCATCACCTGAATAAAAGTATAATTTGAATGATTTCTTTAAATAAATTCTATGTCTGTGTAATGGGCCACTACCTAGAGTTGAATTTGGAAATAAAATTAGATTGTTTTAAGACTCAATTTGTATTTATTCTTGTTGCTTTTGAAACAATAACAGAAAAAAAGAAAAAAGGGACAAAACATAAAGGTAATCATGGATATAAATACATTATCAAGAAAAAAGACAGAGTAAGAAATATTTTAAAAAGGAAAGAATGACAACAGAATAAACAGAAAGGAAGCCAAGTATAATGTATCATTAAAACAGTAAACTGTTATATAATTAAATAATTTCAATTCTGTATATGCTTGCCTAATGTAAATATTATGCTTTTAAAGTTTGCATTAATGATAAACATAACAAATTAATTAAATTTAACACAAGGGTAAAACACTTGCATTAAAAAATATTGTAGGCAAGACACTGGGAATTATGTTACCTTCAGTTCAGGCAACCCAAAAGACAAAGCTAAATAAATTGAAAGTTAAATTATTTTCCCAAATAAGTGAAATAGACTTATATAAAAATAACCTGAAGTTCAGAAATACACCTGAGGATTTGAGGAAAGAAATAAAAAGCTTATTCAAAACTTGACCTGGATATAGAAGAAACTTCAAAAATTCAAGAAATTAACAAATGTATTTAAATTTATAAATTGTTCATGTTATAGGCACTCCATTTTTTCCATCTGCCTCAGACTATAAAATAGCTATATTCCAAGAAGTTTGTATTACCTTTTTAAATACACATAATTTCTTTAGGTGTTTGATTTTTTTAATCAATTGAAATAGGAAATTAATCCTATTAATAATTGTTGAGGAATAGTTTAATTTGATTTGAAATAGAAGCCATTGGGTCTAGTTTTTAGATTTCTGTCTCTTCTTAATCTTTAATCTCGTTTTATTGTAGAGAATGAGCATTTTTATGGGCACCCTTAGTTCACTATACAGAAACTTTGCTCTCTGTATGAGTGGAGTAGTTCTCTTGTATCTGAACAGTTGACAGAAATCAATTGCTTTGATTTTTTTTGTATATTTTGTGTATTCAACTGAAGGTGCAGCTGACAGAATGTCAACTGTGTTCCCAGTTTTAAACTCTGCCAACATTTCTTGGCTATAAGATTAAGGCAAGTTTGTTTTTGAAAATTCAAAAGCTTGAAACTTTATTTGTACTAATAAAAATATTTCCTTTAAGGAATTTGGAATTCATTTTATCTAAGAGTTCTCAACTTTAACTATTACCTTATGTATATCAGATTACCCGATAGTTAGATGAATGATAGGCATTGTTTTAATCAGGTGTTTCCCCCTCTCTTTATGTGTCATGGGGCTTCAGTCAAATGGGTATGGTTGCCAATGCTACTTTTTTTAACCCCTACAGATAGTTTTAGCTCTGGTTCCTCTTTGTGCCTCTTATGGTCTTTCAAGATTGTGTCACCCAATTTCGAATAAAATGCTAAGTAATACCATGACATTTTCATTCTATTTCTTACTAAAAAAAAAAAAAACAGATACATTAGGCATCTGTTATATCTTATATATCTTATGTAACAAAACGAAAAAGAACTTGAACCTTCTTTTGCCCTTCACCCCCTTTTCAGATATCATCATAGCATCATTCACTATGGTTTTCAGGTGACAAAATAATTATACCTTTGAAAATATTTAGTTCCCACATATTAAAAAGCTTCCCTGAGTTCTACAATACATACTTTGATCATCAGTTGGTCTTAAAATCACAAACAGAAGTATAATTGTTACAATTTGTTTTATTCATTTGCCAAAAATTAAGCCTTGTTAAAGATAATGTCACTGCTACGTACCCTCTGTATCCACTAATTTGTCATATATCTGCTTTATATAGTGCATTTCCTTATATGTCAAAATACTGTACATTTTTTTCTGCTCTTTGTTTTTTGTTCTTTTTTTAACCACCTTAGTTATATCTTACCTTATTGTTCTTTCATATGAAATTCATGGCCTTCACTGAGATAATTTACATACAGTATTTCTTCCCCCTTCCTTCCTATTTTACATTAAAAATACTTAAACATATTCAGTTATGTAATTTCTCCTGTTGCTGTTAAATATTCAGCAATAGCAAATACATATAAATATACAAAATAAATACATAAGATTAAGAAACACATCTAATACTAATCTTAATTTATCTACTCCTAAATACATCCAAACATAATAATCCTACATACTATAGTAATTCATTTTGATAGAATTTGCATTATGATTTATTTATTTCATTGCTATTTTAATGGCTTTATTAATGCATAGTAGTTGTAAATAATATGCATATATATCTTTTGATTACTTAGTTTGTTGTGTTGCTGTGAGAAACTGTTTGGAATGTCGACAAAGACAAAGAGAGAAAGTAAACAAATCTTCACTAATCTGCAGTAAAACACAAGAGACTCTTCAGGGCATAAGTGCAACTACTACTACCAAGGTAAAATATTTTTTTTTTAATATATAACAGTCCATTAAAAGTGAATAGGAAAAGAGAGAAAAAACCCATTATCGAGTATATTAGACAGATAGGGATAACTTCACATTTTGATAATTCCAAAATTATTTTCTTACATATGTCATAATCTTGAGACAGGATTTGGATTTACTATGAACAGTTGCATTTATTATCAATATTCTTTACCACTTCAGACAAGTGGATCTAAGGGATTACAAAATTATCAGTGCTAGTATTGACAAAACAAATGACAATTTGTTGTGTATGGTTATATCATAAACAATTCCAGATCAGTTATAGCAGATTCATTCATTCATTCATTCATTCATTCATTCATTCATTCATTCATATTGTAAACACCCAACACCAATAAAATCTGGGCAACTTAAAAAAAGCAAAAAATCTGTAAAAACAGATAAATCATAAAACCATACATTCTGGACTAAAATGACCTTAAAAGTGACACAAATTAAACCAAACAGACTTTACCCAAATACAGTAGTACATTAATCCCAGCCAGATTTTCAAAGGTTTCTGGAACCCTAAGAGAGAGGCCACTGTCCATTTCTGTGTGGGATGCTATTCCAAAGCTGCCTTGTCCTACAAGGTTACAACATTTTGTAGGGGAAGTGCACTATACCTGCAGGAGCATACTAAGTAGGCAGAAGTGATTTAGGACAATTGGTCCCTCCTAAGATCTAATACTGTGTCTTATGTATTCTACGTACCTTCAGGTCTTCACAAGCTATCTGAACGTACTAATGAGTACATGTGTTTCTGCAGAAGGGAAATCCATCAAACAATGCTTGCTTCTGAGTCTGTCCTGCTGTAGTTCCTGGGAAATAATGAGTGTCTATAGGTGTGCCTGAGGGCAGGTAGTCTCCCAACTTCTTAGGTCCAATGCTATGAAGATTTAATAAGTTATTATTTGCACCTTAAATTGCACCCATAAACATGGACAACCAGTATAATGCTCATAGTATTGCTGTTGGATGACAATATTGGGACATTCTCATCAGTGCATGGGCATATAGGAGACAATTGAAACATAAACTGATTGCATAGTATTGGTTTTAGCACTGTTCTAGTAACAACCAATTGCATTGAAGTGCCAAATTTTAAATATAAAACCGGCTCTGAAATCAGTAAAATACAAATCACTTGTTTAGTGATAGCTTCAAGAGCTAAGATTAATTTGCTAAAACTATGCCATTATTGCATTTTTAGACTCCATTGGAAAATGTTCCTGGTAACCTATCTCCAATTAAGGATCCAGATAGGCTTCTTCAAGATGTTGATATTAATCGACTGCGAGCAGTTGTATTTCGTGATGTGGTAAGTATTATTATACTGTATTTAAAATCTGTGCTTTGTGTACTGATGGTGAACAGGTTCTTGTATATTTATCTCTGCCCAGTGTAGGAATTTATTATTTCAGCTTAAAAGTTTATCCCCATTATGATGATCCTTTGAAAAAGCTTTGGTATATTTCTGTCCAACTCTTTTCCTTACTGGTTAATTAAAGTAAAATTATGAATAACTTTTACTTTATTGAAAATGGATAAGCTGGAGAAATTTAGTATTGAAACTCAAGATGCATTTTTTGGAGCAGGTAGAATTTCTAAGATAAGTTTGGATTTACTTTAGTTGATAATCTGATTCCAACCATATTGGAAGCTACATACTTAATTTAATTTTTGTTGGACAGATCATTGTAATTTACAGATGGATATAGCATTAACATGTTACAGATTACTGATAATACCTAACCTTTTTAGGGATCAGTGGATGATAAAGATGGCCCACACAAACCACTGATGTATCAGGTGGATTCCTGATTCCTTTGTTAGATTTACTAATCAACCAAGCCTTTAAAATCAGAACAGAATATAACCAATTGAAATTACTTACACTATTTTTGACTGCAACAACTCCTTGGTTTTCTGCAATAGTGGGAAATAGGAATAGTGGGAAATAGTTAAGAAGATTTGTGATAAATAGCTTGACTTGTAGAATTTGTGGCCGCTACATTGCTGGAGGTTTCCAAGAAAATATTGGACAACCATTTGTCTAAGATGATATGAGGACTCCTGCTTTTGCCATGGGGTTGGTCTAGAAATCCTTCATGGTCCCTCCTAACTCTACAATTCTATGAAATAGTAGAGAAGGATGGGAGAAATATCTTTAAATGGCTATACAGTGACAAAGTTTTTTTTTTTAAAATGTTAGCACAGTTGGCCAGCAGAATCTTTTCAAACAGAACACTTCAGTTGGAGAAATAACTTTTTGAATTTCTACAAAATCAATTTGCAAAAGCTTCTCTACAAAATTGGATACATACATACTCTGTAGTATAAAATATAGTCATGCCTATGACAACTGCTTACAACTATTTTAATTGGTGGCTTTTAGTTTTCTGATCTGCTATTTGAAATTCATAATATATCCATAGTAAATAATACTTTAATACAGCTTGGGTAGGTGTTATATCTTTTTCTGGATGTTGCATATGTCATAGGTAACTTACTTATATTCACGTTGGGCTGCTATAATGCTTTGCATGAAGATGTTTCTGAAAATCATTTGAGAATTACAAATAGTTGCCTGATAATAGTATCATTTTAGTTTTGCATCTCCATTGCTGTTAAGTTTCTCATTTGATGCAGTTTAACGTTCTGGTATGAATAGTGAAGGCTAAGATATGTATCCCTATATTTTCAGAAATATGATTAGTCGAATAGCCTTTTTATTACAATGTCCAAAGTACATAGAAAGGTGAAGTTCCTCTCTCTTTAAGTACAACCTTACAGCTAAGCCCTTTTTAATCTTACATACCTAAAATTATTTAATGTCTTTCAGTGCTTTCAAAGTTTTTAAAATTAATAGAAAATTCTGATATTATTTCTCAATTTTTAGATCTGTAGTATATGGTTTTAAATTTAGAGAGGGGTAAAGAGAGAGAGAGAGAGAGAGAGAGAGAGAGAGATCCTCCGGATCTTCAGTGAAAACTAGACTAACATGGATGGACATAAGTAATGATTAGATAAGTTGAAGAATTTATTTATTTATTTATTTTAATTTATTTGCTATCCAAAAACTCTGGGCTGCTTACAACATAAAACACTGAAAAACATTAAAATCATTTGTTGCAAAAAACACAGCAGATAAAATCATGGACACAAGATGGCAAAGAAGGGAGTCGGGGTATGTGGGGTTGAATTTTAATTAGTCAAAAACCTAAGAATCCTTAAAGAAAATCAGTTTTGGACCAGTCCTATTATTTGGATTGGAAATTAGCCTGCATATTCATATAACTAAGAACCAGTTTGGTATCTTAGAAAGTGGAGGATCATGAGTTCTAAAACCAGCTTAGTGATGTTGGGCCAATCACAATCTTTCAGCTTTAGGAAGATGATATATAGTCAGAAGTACTGATAAATTTCTTTTCTAGTATTCCAAACAAAATAATTGTAATCCAAGTTTACAGAAAAGGGATTTGAATTAACATCATTTCTCATGATTCTTGAGAAGGATCATCTACATTTCTCTGTTTTACCTCACTAATAATTAGCATTGGTATCAATGGCAGTTTTAAAGAGTTTGGAATTAGTCTAACTTTTTCTGCATTGCCCTATAACCCAGGGCTATTTAGGTCAAGTTTTCCAGATGTATATATATTATTATTTAAACCACATTTTATTTTCCTATAGAATATTCTGTATTGGCCAGATGTGAGAGGACACACAAGAAATTTGTCTCCGGTGCATAAGCTCTCAGTATATATACCAGCAATAAAGTGATAAATCATAAATAATAAGATACAATCATAAACCATAAGATACAACCAACAAGTGTTAGTCATAAGATATCAATAGGAGTAGGTAATAGGAAAGGTGAGAAGGATAATAGTAATACAACAACATGGCTCTATTACAGTATTTGCACACTGTCCAGCATGAATTTTCACAGCTCTCCTATTTTGCTGTTACAAACATGTACAAAGTGCAGATGCAACCAAATCTTATTGCTCCACTAGATAGACAACAAATAGTGAGGAAAGGCCAAACCGAGTAGCATGATTCCTATTTTCTCTTCATAGGCATGATTAACTATTAAAAACATTTTATGGCCTCCTTCTAAGTTGCTCAGCCTTGTCCCACTTCCCCTCTGAGGGAAATCACAAACTGGCTTGAGAATCTCTACATGATATATTTGGTGTATTTGATTTTATTTAAAACTTTGGGGTAGTTTTCATATGTAATGCTCTCAGCTTCCTCTAAGATAATAATTTATGAAGACTAAGTCATACCCTTCTCTGACAGGCTATACATTCATATTGGGAAGGTGAAAGAAATGTTCATATATTTAAATGCCAGTCAAAGGAATGTTGGGACAATTGTCATACAGTAGCTTGTTTGTTTATTTTTAATGTTGGCAGTTTGCTCCATAGCATTTACTAAGAGAGGAAATGATAACTTTATTGGGTATTTTCATAGTATTTTATTTTGTGTATGTTTTTCTTTTCTTCAACAGGATGATAGCAAACAGGCACAATTTTTAGCTTTGGCTGTGGTTTACTTCATTTCTGTTTTAATGGTCTCCAAATATCGGGATATTCTTGAACCACAACGAGAAACTGCAAGGTCTGGAAGCCAGGCAGGTAGAAATATCAGGCAAGAAATAAATTCACCAACAAGTACAGGTACTGCTGTTTTTCAGTTAATGCTGAGGAACTGTTGGGACACTTGATTTTTGAATGTAGAAACTGAAGAATAAAGAATGCCTATTAACCTTTGAAAATATTTCTTGTTTTTCCATTGTTTTAACACAGGATGGTCTTAGGGACTAACTCTGACTAAAGTTTTATTGGCAGCAGAACGAGAGTTTCTTCCAAAGCATGTAATTAATTGCAGGACACAAGCTAATTACTTTTCCATTTTTTCCATAAAATCATTTTTATGTTCATCATGTGATTTGAATTCAAATCATAAGTTATGTAATTCCATTACTTTATGACACTTTAGCAGCTGGATATTTTTACACCATAATAATAGAAATAAATAAATAAAAATAAAACATATATTTTACTTGCACAAAATTCCAGATTTAATTTTTACTTTCTTTACTTCTCAACATCTCTAAGAAGAAAGAATCCCTGTCATCCCTGGCAAACTAGAGCATATAGTTTTACTTGGATATAGTGTCATTTGTATATTTACAATAACTGTCGACGCAGTATGATACAAACGCATTAGGAGAGAGAAACAGACATATTAATAAAATAAAAGTATTTTTTTACCTATAAGCATCTAGCTTGTAAAGACTTCCATTATTTGAAAGGTAGTATTTGCCATTTGGCAGCTGACTTCCATCACTCCATGTTGCCAGTACAGGAATCATCAGAAATTATAATTTAATCAGTTAAAGGAAATAAAAATACATTTTGCATAGATAAAAATGTAATTATCCACAAAATGGGAATAGTACTATATTTAGGCAGAACTGAAGCCTTTATAAACATTTGGAACATTTAGGTAAATTTTAGATACAGTACATGGCATGAAGGCATCTGTTATCTCTTAACAAAAATGGAATTAAATTTACTTTATTGGAGATCTGCAAAGCTAGCAGAAATTTTGTTGCTAGAAAATATGTCTAACTAATGTCCTAACTTTGCTAGTAAGGTACTTGTTTGGGAATTCTAGTATAATAGTGCATTTCTAGAAACTTGCTTTTAGTACTCTAATTGACTAGTTGATTAAGCTTTTATGAACATGATTTAGGTGCTGTTTGTTTCCAGAGAGCTAGATTGAAACTAGCTTGTACCCTGGGACATACTGCAGAGTCATAAATCTTTCTTTTCTCTGATGTGCATTTCTTTGGGAAGACAATATTTTAATATGCGTGTGAATTCTTACCTGTCAAACTTCTTTCTTCAGAAGCAGAAATGCTTTGGATCAGACTATTTAAAGACTCTCTCATTGGAATATTTTATTTATATTGTAGGCATTGGAAAGAGAGCCAAAATTGATGGCAAATCTTTCCCTTTATTTTGCCATCCCTCCATTCTTCTCATCTTTCTCCTTTATAGAGTTTTAATATTTTTTGTAAATAGCTCCCTTGCACATGTCTTTTTCAGGATTCAAACTCCCTTGCACATTTGTTTTATTGCAAATGGTACAAAAATATATATTCTAATAAAATGAATACAGCGAGCATTCTAATACTAGTTTGGATCAATTTCCATTTGTTTAAATTTAAACATAATTTAAAAAGAGAAATCTTATGAAAATCCAGTTCCTGAAATGTTTAATCTTTTTGTTAAATGCTTACTATATATAATGATATCTATATATCTTTTTCAATATAATCCTGTGTATTCATGTGTCTTCTTTCCAAGTATGTACCGTGTTTCTCCAACAATATGGCCTCCACCAATAGGAAGGCCCAGCATGATTTCTAGGCATGAGGTGAAATTAAGGCCCATCCCCAAAATTTAGACCTATTTAATCCATGCGTTTGCCCACCATTTCTCACATTGTTCATTAGAACTACACGAGGTAAAGAGAAATGGGGGGGAAGGGTGGGGTGGGGGTGAAAACTTGCCTTTAGGAGTGCCCTGCAGGTCGCCCAGGCTAGAATACCCCGATCTACCGATAGAACATCAGCTGATAGAAACTTCCCGAAGGCAGAGTCCCCAGCCGCTTCAGGGCGAGGCGTGGCTGCCCGTGTCCCCTTGCCATTAGGCAGTGTCTTTCAGGCGATGGAAGCTCCCCAAGGGCAATCACCAGCCACCGCTGCAAGGCCGCTTCTACCAGCCGATTGAAGTGGCTGGTGACTGCCCTTGGGGAGCTTCCATCGCCCGAAAGACACTGCCTAATGGCGAGGGACACGGACAGCCATGCCTTGCCCTGAAGCGGCTGGGGACTCTGCCTTCAGGGAGCTTCCGTCGGCCGATAGAAACGGCCTTACAGCAAGGGGAGTGTGTGTGTGCACTCGCCCCGAGGCTGCTTCTAACGGCCGATCGAAGTGGCTGGTGACTGCCCTTGGGGAGCTTCCATCACCCGAAAGACACTGCCTAATGGCGAGGGGACACGGGCATCCATGCCTTGCCCCAAAGCAGCTGCGGACTCTGCCTTCAGGGAGCTTTTGTTGGCCGATAGAAATGGCCTCATGGAGAGGTACGTGCGTATGGGCCGCTCTAGGTGGGGGAGGAAATTAAATCACCCCCCAAAAAACAGCCTAGCCTTTTTTTCAGGGGTCAAAAAAAAATAAGGCCTGGCCTTATTTTGTGAGAAACACGGTAGTAATAGAATTGGTGCCAAAAGACATTTTTAAAGTAACTAGAATAGATGAATTAAGCACAATGACTTTATTTCGTATACCCCCAAAAGGTGGTTTGTTTAAGGCTCCTGAATCTTTCAAGATTTCAGTATCATTAAGAAAAATATTTGAAAATAAAATCTGTAGCAGTTTATATGTTTTTTAAACTTGGATCTTGGGGTGTTATAAATACCTTATTGAGACATTAATTATCATACTACATGACAGAATTGATTCATGAAAAGTCTGATAACATAAGATAACATTGAACATTACCATCAGTTCACCTAATTAAAATAAATGTTTTGGATTTAAATTCTTGATGAATTTTGATAGGATTAAAAAATAAATAAATACATTGTGTGAGAATTATATTTTAAAAGTGTGTATGACTGTGCCATGTAAATTTAATATTTTCTTCCCAGATAAGGTTGTTTTAAAAAAATCAAGACATATTTTAGTTACTAAACATCATGTTGTTTCTATTACATTGTGAACTATTTTTATTTTAGAATAAAATTAGTGATTTCCATTGTTTATACATTAGAGTACATTATATATTTTCTTCATTCAAATCATGATTAAGTAATTAACTATTCCTGCATTAATTTTTTGTAAATAATAAAATTATATTGCTTATTTTTAGGAGATTTATCTTAGAATTCAGCTGTCATTTGTGGCTGTGCTACAGATAATGTATTTTTCTGTTTATATGTTATTTCATACATAAAACTATTCCAACTGTTTCTGTCTTATTTATGTATACCTGTCTTTCCATATAAATGTATTTTTTCTGTACGTTGTATTATTTGCAAGTATCTTATTTTTCTAGATTTATCCCTGATAAATTATTAGTGCCTTGTTTGCATGTTTCAATAACACTTCTGACATGGATCCTCAGTGGACCAAACTACCGGCAATAAGTAGCTGGCTCACAATTGACTCCATGATTTTCTTCACAGTTGTGGTTATACCATCTATCCCACACCCAAGTTTGAACCATGGATTCCTTGCCAAGTTAATACCTGAACAGAGTTTTACTCACTCATTTTATAAAGGTAATTTTAACATAACCTCCTATTCTTTACCATATTTATTTCATATTATATATTTCAAGAACTTAATTATAATATAAAGTCTTAATCAAGAAGATGATTTTTTGGGTTTCATATAAATCAGAGTTTTCTGGCAATGATACTATGAACATTTTCCATCTTGTTTATTAATAGTATTATAGGAGTGTTACAATTTTTAAATTTTAACAGTATTAACATTTAATACTGTAAAGAAATATAGTTCAACCCTTTAAAAGAATACTGCTGTATAAGGAAGTTATACAGTGCTATATTCCTGAAATAATTTGTTGCATTTTCTAAATTCTTTGTTTCTTTTAATTTAGAAACTTGTCTTTTTCTATATAGCTTCCAATTATTTTTACTTTCAGTAGGCAGACAATATGATTGAAGATAACATTGAGAACAATAATGTCATACAAAGTCTGTTTAAGAAATAAAGGAATGTTCGTTTAGATCAGAAGACAGGTGCCTTTGGCTTAGCGCAGTGAGAACATTTACTGCGGTGCAGCAAAATTCGAAGTATATAAAAAGGCAATCTAGTGAGTTTACGAAAACAAACACTTTTGAAGCCACAATTTTCTAGCTGAAAACTATTTCAGATAAAAGCTATATTTTCCTGAAATATGTAAGAGTTATAAAATATGTACACGCTTCACATTTGCAACACTAAACAACTATACACAATACATAAAGAAATGTGATCTCTTATTATCAGTGCCCAAAAATTAATCTCTCCAAAGCATGTACATCCATCTGCTCCATTATCCCTAAAATTACACATAAACATATTCAGCCTACCACAAAGTTGTATCACCAATTGGCTTTCCCCAAATCCTTACTAGTGCTCATCTATGTTGCCTATTTCTGTTCTTCCTAGCCATTCTTAGCACCTACCCTTCAGAACCTCTCTAGCCGTCTGAATAATAAGTGTCTTCTATTTAACCTTCAGTGTCTTCTGTTTATTTCCAAATTCTTGATAACATCTTGGTGCTTTCCTCAGTCCTTAAAATTTATGTGGCAGCCAATTTTCCCACTGTCTTATGTTTTGTTTTTCTTTCATTTTTATCGAGCTAGCAGAATGCCAAGTTTCAGTTGCCTTGTCTCTGTTGCCTTCTTTGAAAAAAATAGTTTTGATTCACATTTGTAGAAGTACGAGGTACTGTGGATAAGAAAAATGAAGAGTGAAAGACAAGCTGATAGTCCTAGGATTACTAGTTTTTAATTTAATTCATTAAAAAAGACTGTGTTTATTTCTTTTGGGTCCCAAAATAAGCACTAGGCCTTATTTTCAGGGAAACACAATTACAGGGTGATCAACCCAGCTGGGTGCCCCATCCCTCGGTGCAAATATAAGAGCCAGCAAGTGTGCGGGGACCAATGGTATACAGCAGCAGCTGCAGCCCACTGGTCCCTTGGTCAGTGCAATCGGGGGCTGCACAGAATGGAAGGCACAGAGTGGAAACCAGGCAATCCTAACATGCGGAGCGGAAGGCAGGTGATCTTGACATGTTGTGCGAGCTGCAGGCAAGCCGAGAGATGCGAAGATGAGCCTCCAGTGGCCCCTGACACTCCAGCCCACCACCGCTCAGCTTTCCTGTGGCCTGCATGTCGGGTCTGGATCATCTGTCTCTGCCCCACACCTCTGATTCTGTCTGCTGCCACACAAAGATGAACCTCCCGTGGCCATCTGCTGCTCTTGCCCACCGATGCTCGGCTTTCCTGTGGTCCACGCAGCGCATCCAGATCGCCTGCCTTCCCCCAAGTCTGCTTCCACCTGCTGCTTGCCCAGGTACTCAACTTTCCTACACTGCATGGACTGTGGCCCACACATGCTCACCACCTCCTATGCTGGCCACACCCACTAGAGCTTATTTTTGGAGTAGGGCTTATATTAGGCACACATGAAAAAACCCAGGATGGGGCTTATTTTAAGGGTGGGTCGTATATTCGGGGAAACAGGGTATTTGTTCTAAATGGACTGGGAGATGACTAGACTTTAGAATATTTTAATTTTTCCAGATAACCTCAGGTTGTAATCACATAATTATAAATTAGAGATTAAACTATAACTACTGTTTATTATAGGAATAAACATAAAATATTGAGGTATGAGAAGATTTTCTGCATTTAGGATCAGTATTCCCAGTATGGTGCCTATGGGTATCCTTCTGGTCCTACATATATTTAAGAGGCATTTTTAGAAAACAAAACATAAATAAAATGAACTTGGAGCTCACTGGTCTGGGCCCATGAAAGGAGTTATCTGAGGTGATAGTGAGCCTGAAAAACATATTGATTTGTGTTGATCAGTGCTATCAAAACTGCAGCTAGAATATAAGAAATTATTCTTCAAGAAATGTGCAAGAAATTATTTATTCTTTTTCAAAGGCAATTTTTCATTTTCTTTAATTCTATATTATTACTACAGGTGATCCTTGCTTAATGACCCCTTGTTCAGCAGCCATTTGAAATTATGATACCACTGATGAAGTGGTCATCAAAGTTCCGGCTATTGTAGCATCCTTGTGATCACATGATTACAATCTGGGCACTTGGCAACTGAGTCACAATTATAAAATTATAATTTGTGACCTTCATTGCTACTTCCACAAAGCAAAGTTAATGGGGAAAACAGCAGGTGGTCAAAAATAGCAATCACATGATATTGTGCTTAATGACACCATTATGTCAGGGGTGAAGAATTAGGACCATATGTTAAGTTTCAGTTAAGCTGGTTTATTGCTTTGCCTATGCAGAAGAATCTTGTTAACTCACCATCAGCACTAATTGGTGCTAGATAAGAGTTAATGGAGTACAAGAGATGCTAGATCTCTTGTGTGGGAATGTAACAACTCCAGGCTGATTCTTCTCTTCACTCCATCCCCAGTTTCTGCCTTTCCTTCTCCTACACCAAATAACTGTTTAATTATAGCAACTGGAAGTGCCAGAACTGCTGTTGCTAAGTGGTTTAGTCATGAACCATTGCACTTTACAACTGTGTTGTTTAGTGATGGAAATTGTCCTTGTTAATCGACAGCTATCTTGTACTGTTATAGTAGAATACTGAAAAGGATTTCTATTATTAAATTTCATAGATGGCAATAAGAAATATTCCGGTAATAATAAGCTGTACAATCCATTTAATAAAAAATTAATTAGCCATTTTATTAACCAATTATTAGGACACAAATTACATCAACATAATTTATACCAGTGATTGGCAGCAGATAGACTATTTGCAACAGTAATTGGTAGCTATTGTCATCTTCCATGAAGTAATTCAGCAATGTGATTATTCAGTGTTTTTGGATAGTTTATATACTCTCAGTAATATCACTCTGGCTTCCTCCCTAATTCTGGAATAGAAATCTTGCAGCACGGGTAATCTTTGCCTGAAAATAATACAGAAGATATGACCCTGCTGATCTTTAAGGATTACTTAAATGGTAGTCTGTGAATGTCTTCCATATTTACTATAGTATTTGGAAGAATATGAGAGACAATTATTGCTCATATCTTTTTTTAAAATAGTTACTTACAGAATGGATAGGTAGCCTTATTGGTAGAATTTTTTTTATCTGTGATTCTCCTTACAGGTCATTTCTGCTTTTAGCAATTAGCAGAATTATTGAAGAAGAAACTAATCTCCCACAAATTGATGTGAATTAACTAATATAAGTTTACCAATTTTATACTTTATTTACAAATTGTTCAGCAATATGGATGAATAATTGACAGCTGTGACTAAGTACATTAACCAACAAAAATGAACTCACTTGAAATTGGGGAAGGTTGATGGGTAATATCCTTTTGTTTGGAAGAAAAGGGGAGTGATCATGATTTGTGGTGTTTCACCACCTCTAAAATATGTATGTAACATTCTGTGTGTTCTCCAGGAAGCAGCAATAACTCAAAAGGGCACATTTTCCCTTGTTAACTCCTTATAGCTTTATAGCTAAGACCATTCCAGGCTGGTAAATAGCTATGCAGTAATAGTCTGTAACTTTAGAAAGTAATTTTTGCACTGTGATCTATAAGACACTAGATTTAAAGCTCCAGGGGAAAAAAGTCAGTAGGTGCAGGCAATCCTATAAATTATGTGTGATTTTAATAAAGCACCTAATTTCTGATGAATTATTTAAAATTGAGGAGGCAGGCAAGATTTAATTAGGGCTGCGGAAACTATAGTTTCTTAGGTCTGAGGCCTTCAAATCACTTTGGCATCAATATTATTTTCTTTCCCAAATCTAAACCATGCTACATTTTCAAAAGTATAACTTTCAATTAATTTCTAAACAATGGTTTGTGACTTGTTCAACTATTATCCAAAATATTTTAATTTTTATCATTCTTAATTGTCCATTTTGTATTTATTCATTTGCAAATTCATCTATTATTCACATTTTTTTTCACTTCTACAAGTAGAATAGATGCTGAACTCTGCTTCTTTTGCAGGAAAAGTTTCAGGACATTCCCTACCTCACTCTCTCCTCTGTTTTTCCCATTATGCTACTTCTGCTCACATATACATTTGAGTTGAGAGCTCCTTTCATGTTGTGAGTTGTTACATTGTCTATAATCATCATAGCAACTTTTCTCTCAACCTGGTGAAATTGTTTTTTGTGGTCATTATAGACTCTTCATTTGCCCCTGTCTCTAGTTTATTCTCACTATTAATAAGCTCCTGCCTTTCTTCTTTTTCTGTCTCTAAACATTTATTGTATCTATCTAATAAGAATAATTCTTCTGGAAAGGAGGAATTAACTGAGCCTTCAGTTACACTGTAGAGTTTGAAATACCTTCAAGTTTAAAATAGATACTATGGTACAGCCTAATGTGGATCACTGTCGGTTCCATCAAATGCATTTTCAGTGCATCTAATGAGCTATATTGTGATTCACGAAAGCTCATGTTACACAGATATTAGTCTTCTAGTGTAATGATATCCTTTGTTGTTGTTTCAGAATATTTTTTTTCCAGAA